GCCACTTGCACCGGGGGTGCTTTGGATACCACCTGAGCCTCACAGTTGGTCTCTCCAGCTCCTCCTAGGATCTCCCAAGCCTGGCTCTATCAGATTTTCCATCCCAGGACACTATCTCCCCAAAACACCAAGCGAGGTCTGGAAGGCGTTAACAAATACACAGGAATTTTGATTTCTTTACGAGCTATTCAAAGCATAAAATCACTCATGCTCTGCAAGACGCTAGTCAGCTCATCTGGCAGACAAGAATCCCCCACAAGTTCAGGATTCAAATGGCATTTTGCACAGCAAGCTAACATGCAACAGTTTGCATTGCAAGGTTTCCCTGGCTCAGGGCTTGCCCCCGTTCCTGACTCATGCCCAGTTACTCAGGCGTTCTGGGACAGACCCACGGCTCCGTGCAGCAAAGGGCAGCTGAGTACCACAGCCAGCCCAGGCCCTCAGCAGCAACCTTCAAGGGTAGTGATGGGGAACACAAGTTGTTCTCCTTAGGCTTCCCTGCACATCTAAACATCCAGCGATTCCTGAATAATCTAAAAGCTGCTTCTTTATTAGTATTCTACCCAAAACAGGCAGTGAAACAACTTGATGCTAAGAAAAGATGAACTTAACAGAGCATTCATTTTTTTTCTATTATTATTATTTTTTTCCTCAGCACCTAGGCTGTTTCAAATTAAAGAGAATCCGGCTTCAGGAGGCAGTGCTATTTTAATCATTCCAATGTGTCCAGTACGGGAGATGAACTCAAAAGGTGAATATTAAAAGTAGTTGTGGAATTCAGTCATTTCACGAATGAACACATAATAGCCAAAGGCAAAACCGGAAGGCAACTTCACTTCCAATCAGTGTTTTCATTTTATTGAAACCAGATTGGAATTCCTGGAAAGAAGCCTACATATCACATCTTTAATACTAATTTTCATATACTCCAGTAAAACTGTCAGGGTGAATCAGTTGCTGAAGAAAGCTTCCTGTATAATTTACAGATGTACCTCCCTGTAGCCTGCTATTTCGTCCTGGATCAGAAATGTGGTTTTGATCACGTTCACGGATTTCCTCTCACCTGCACAGGTTTTCGTTGGCTCTAATTTGATTATTAAAATTGGACTTTATATGGCGGAGCTGGTGATAAAAGTAAGCCAACTGTGAGATACTCAGCAAGGCATTATTTTATGCGCGTATCTACGTACACACCTTCATCTACCCATGGGGATGCATGCCTGTACACACATCTACCCCACAAAGATGAGAAAGACATTCAGAAACCAAACCATTCCATCCATTCAGTGCAAATATCTTCATCTCTACAAAACATCAAAGAATCAATAAGTGGCAGAGGATTTCCAAGCAGACATAAATAGAGCACTTGGACGATTACCGTAAGAGCATTTTCCCTAAGCCCCACGCTGAGCCCTGTGCTGTGTTTGAAGCTGGGTCCGGCGAGGCCGCTTGGTCCCTGCCGCTTTGCACTGATAGCTGCTGTGCTTCCCTGTGGGCTGTGGGCTGCCAGGTCAGCGTGCCAAAAACCTTCCTGCAAACAAGCAGTAGGAAGAGAGGTGAGCGAGCTGGGGAGATCCTGGTGTTTTCCTTCCCATTGGGCAGCGCCCTACGATGGCTAGAGGAATACACGAGTGGCTTTGTGGGGTGGCACCAGTACTCCTGCCCAGGCTTTGGGTAGTGTCAGCACTTCCATTAAAGCTCCATTAGTCTGGGGTTTATAACTCATCTGTAAAAATTGGCTCAGGCTGCAGAAATTTGGCAAACAATGAGTGCACAGTGGTTTTTCCTTTTCTCCCTGCCTCCTTCTCCTTCCCCCTCCCCCCAAGTTGTTAAAAAAAAAAACAAAGTTTTGCTGCTTTTTAAGCATCTTTTTTTTGACACACGTATAAAATGTTCATTAGTTTTAGATGTTTCGGTGCTTGTAAAACTCAAAATTATCTTCATTATAAAAAAATAAAATTTAAAGAAGCTGGAGGGCATCTCTGGAGACTTCAAATCCTGACAAGGCCACAAGTATAAATAAGAGCTTATTTATCTCAGTCTGCTCTCCTTCCACATGTTTGAAAAAAGCTGAGTGCTGTGTTGGCACAAGGGTGAGCACGGGCAGGAGACACACCATCTCAACCCACTTTGCACTTGGCAAAGGAGCCCATTGTCCAGACTGAGGCCAAATAAAAACAGAGCAGAACTGAGCACTGAAATCCAGTGTTAAATACAGTGTGTTATCCACTAGTTATCTGTGGAAAAAAGAGGAGAGGAAGCAAAGAGGAAAAAATACAGAATCCAGTGCTTAAATAGCAAAGAAATTCATACAATGAGTTCCTTCAACCAAATCCTAATTTTAGTTTCTTTGACGATGAGAACAAAGAGGTTGAGGTTGGATCTTAGGAGGAAGTTTTTCCCCCAGAGGGTGGTGAGGCACTGGCACAGGTTGCCCAAGGAGGCTGTGGATGCCCCATCCCTGCAGGCATTCAAGGCCAGGCTGGATGTGGCTCTGGGCAGCCTGGGCTGCTGGTTGGTGACCTGCACACAGCAGGGGGTTGGAGCTGGGTGAGCACTGTGGGCCTTTTCAAGCCAGGCCGTTCCATGATTCTATGATTGTGAGGAGGATAATGTGCTGGCAGCACCCAGCTCCCCACGCCTTAACAAAGCAGAATGCTCTCATCCCTGCCTTAGCCTATGTAACCAAATAGCCCCCCCAAAAGTTGGAATTTCACAGAGAATGCCCATCACACTGCATGTGGGGGGCACGCTACTCAGCTTTCCAAATGTCACTCTCAGGACAGCAACAAAATCTGTAAGGCAATTCTGGTGTGCTTGGCATTGATGAGTAATACATGGCAGTATGTATATAACAACTCCTTTTGATTTAAATTTCTGTCAGTGCCATCTAGTTCATTGCATGATTTTGTAATTTTATTCCCCAAAATATAGGATGTATTTTCTTCTTCTCAATTAAAAAAAAAAAAAAAAAAAAGCTTTAAAAATGTATCACCAGAAGGCTGGATAGCAAAGTGGGTTAATGCAGCAGCAGTGCACCTCCAGGGGTTTAGTTTCAGAGCCAGCTTAGGGGTCTGCTGTCATGTCACAGAGTCCCTGCCACTGCCACAAGCAGCAGTGTCTGCTCCATCATCAGGATAAAAGAACAGGTCACTGAAGGTCAGGGCTGCAGCTTCACATAGGAAAGGAAGGTTGAAATGATATAAACACAGCGTCCGAATTAGATTCAGATACTTCTCTAGCTAGTAGATAACTCAACATAGTCCTTACATTACAAGTACACCAACAAGGAGGGATTTTTCTTGTTTGTTTGACATACTAATGGCATTCTGGTTTTGCAAACCCATATTTAAGTGCATTCATAACCAGCAAAGCATATAAACACACCCCAAGTTCCAAGGTTATCTGAAGCACATACCCAAACAACCATCTGATAGCATCCACAGATCTATAAACTTTCCAACATTTATCTTACAAAATTAACTTTGCACTCCAAATTAATGAGTTGCATCATCCAGACAGAAGAAAACGAGACCTGCAGCAAATTCAAAAGCAGCTTTTGCCGCAGTAATTGCACTGAAGAAACCAGTAACACACCATATCTTAAGCTCTCCTTCCTCTTCTTTTATGCATAAGCCATCAGGATATACGTATGGAAACACCGAAACTTTGGTAAAATGTTTTTAAGTTGGTCTCTGCTTTGTCACAGTACCTTACATCTAAAGCCAGGTAGAAGGCACTTTCCAGGCATTATTCTAGGATTACTCCATGAGAAGTGCAAACCAAAGCCCATTTTTCCTATTCATGTTTCCAACTGCACTGTCCTCATAAACAGCCTGCAGCAGGCCGTGTATACTTCTCTTTGTTATTGTCACTCCTCCAAACAGCTTTTCTTTCCTCGGGCTCCTCAGTCCCTCTGAATGAATAGAGGTTGGCAACCCTGTTACATGATTTTCCAGTGTTGCAACAATGTCAGCCTTGAGTAACTCTGGGTGGATGGAAATTAGAAGGCATTAGTACAACATGAGCAAACTCCACACTGCATTATCGAACAAAAAGTGACATAATTACAGAACAACGACAAAAATGTTTATCCTCTCCAGTAAAATATTTTATAAAGCAATATGCAATTTGTTCACATGCACAATACTGAATCACCAGTGACCAGCATGAGTCCCTGGGGAAGGCAGAGACATAGAGACATCTCCATTAGCAATCCAAGGGCATTTGGTGCAGCACAGCCCTAAATACCTTCTGAAGTAGTTCTTCCACGCTGAGAGGATAAAAGAAGCAAGCAAGAATATTTCTGCTTAATAGCATGTAGACTACTAAAAAAAAACCACCAAAAACAGAGATATTGGAAGTTTATCGTGAGTCTCTAAGCCATAGTGTTCACAGTAGCGCTTCTTGTGGTATTTTTGTTTCATCAAATCATAAAGACTTCAGGATCTGAGTATAGAAGTAAAGCCACTAGCAGAGTCTCAGACCTATTAGAGAGGTTATTTTGTCCAGTCCTATGAACTGTCTTAGATTCGTGAACCTAGAAATAAGATGATCAAGTGGGTACTGATCTCTCATTGTTGGGGCAACAACAAATTCCATGCACTGAATCAGATCAGGAAGGTGGTTACAGTGAACCTCCAGCACCAGATCTATATCTAGGGCATAAAACTCAGAGACCTTAAAAGAAAGAAGCAGCTTTCTTGTCTCCTTTCCTCTTTTTGACTAACAGATGTTGCCCTGGCACCCTGGAAATGTGAAGCACATAGTTCCCTTTGCAGTCGTACCACAGAGCAATATTTCTCATTGGTAGTAGAGCTGACTTTTCTTTCATTTTTATGAGACAAAGCTATGCAGTATTTTACAAGAGAAGGATTTGCTTTCCTCACAAACCCTAGAACTGAAGGGAAGAGTGGATGCAGGCCGACGTGGCAGCTGTTATCATTATGATCCCAAGACCAAGTCAGTTTAAACTGCCTAAAATCATAGTCTAAGGGACCAGTCTGGCAATAGCTCGCCCCCTGCACAATTGATGTGCATGTAAGCTCCAATTCCACCAGGGAGGTGGTAAAAAAACAAAACAAAACAAAACAAACAAAAAAAAAACCAACAATAACAACAAAAAAAAACCAAACCAGTTCAACTGTCCCCATGGCCCATACTGTTCTGATAAGGAGAGATGAGCAGAGAAGGACGAGGATACACAAAACAAAATGACTGCACAAAATAAATCACAATGACATTCCATTTGATGGAAGTGACCAAGGAACTCAAACCTGGGAGAGGCTGAGAAGCACCTTGAGGAGCCAGTGTCCAAGATTTCATTTGATTGTCAAAGTTCATAATGGCCAAAAGGATGAATCCCAAGAGTAATTTTTTGGTACTTCCTGAGAACAAAGCAAAGATAAGACTTTGGATCCCAAGGTGCAGGCCTTAAATATTTACTGATCAAGCTGAGGGTTCCACGCTCCTGGCGGAGAAACAAAGCTGCAGACCTATAACCTCAAGTGTAATTTTATCACTGTGGAAACCTGTATTTTGCCAGACAGAACTTCCTGCCAAAATCAAAGAGCTGTCATTTTCTACGACGCTTTCAAAGCAGAACCAAAGACTTCTTTTGGAGGAGGGGGTGGGGGGAGAAGGGGAGAAGTGAGGAGGGGGAGGCTGGGTGGACAGAGAGAGGGAATGAAAATCAGTGTTTTGAGGAAAGCAAAGTTGGAGAAGCAAACAGGAATTTCTCAGTTACATCTTCATTCTAAGTGCAGCCTTAGGTCTATTCATCTACATTTTAGGAATGGAGAAGAAGAAAATCCCCTTTCCTTCTCTTGCCTGGTAGAAGACGACAATGTGGCAGCACTGTGTCACGGCCAACGGCACTTAAGGAGAAGCCACAGCTGCCCCTCCCTGCTACAGGAAGAGCTGTGGGGGCCAAAGCCCAACTCAGCACAGCCCCTTCAGGGGAGGAGGTAATGCCATGCCATAGGGAAATGGTGCTGAGGCACATGAACTGCCTTCTACGCAAAGCAGACAGGAGGCATCTTCCTGGGAGGAAGAGACTCCAGAGGATGAGGACAGGTGCCTCTAGGTCCTGTTTTCAGCTGCTGTGAGGATTTGGCTGCAAGGTCCCCCCGTTACATGAGGCAGAGATACCGGGAGACTAGGATGCACCACCACCTTCAGCACAATTTACAGACCTCAGGACCTGCTTTTTTAAATTGCAGCTATTAGTCCTGCCTTAATTTTGGTTTTCTTGTGCTTAGAACAAGCTCTACTGGGGCTGGCAGCCAGCACAGGGCCTTCTGGGGAGGATGAGGAGAGCCTTTGTCCCAGCCCTGGAAGGCAGCCAGAGCAGAGCCTTCAGGATGCAGGGGCACGCATCTTCATGAGGCAACATTTGCTCCCACATTTGGATGTTGTCTGATATCACACTGAGGGTCAGCCAGTTAAAGTGAAAATCCCACAAACACCGTGAATAAAAAAAATAATAATAATCACAAGTCTTATTTTCCCAAAATAAAATCTCTCTC